GGCGCGATCTCGGCTCACCGCAACCTCCGCCTCCCGGGTTCAGGCGATTCTCCTGTCTCAGCCTCTTGAATCGCCGGGATTACAGGCACGCGCCACCATGCCCAGCTAATGTTTTGTATTTTTAGTAGAGACGGGGTTTCACGATGTTGACCAGGATGGTCTCGATCTCTTGACCTCGTGATCCACCCGCCTCGGCCTCCCAAAGTGCTGAGATTACAGGCTTGAGCCACCGCGAAAATTTGTGCAAGCCTCTCAACTTCTATTTTAATTCAAAATAAGAAATGTTTTGTGTTCTATATACCATTTGGTGGTTCTTTTTAGTTTAAAGAATATTGAGTTTGGCCTGTGCGTAACTATACATGCCCCTCATTAGCTGCCTTTGTAGCTTAATATAAAATGTCTCTTATATAAAATATCCTTAAAGTTTTGTATAAAGCATCCTTAAGGTCAAAGGATACATCTTTAGTTTAAAAATAGTATCTTTTTTAGAAAGAGGACTGAGTAACTGTGGACATAAAAGTTAGGTGTTTGACATTGATTGAAAGTACTAGATTTTTTTTTCCTTACGTAATAGTTGAAATATTTGTGTAAAAGACAGGTCAGCTAATTGTTATGTTTTAACGTTAGTTTGACTTTGAGACTATGCCATTGGTGAGAGAGATTGTTTTGCAACTTCTGCATCCCTGGATTCCTAGGCTGTGTTTTTGAATTCTGACCTGAATTGGAGAAGAGTTCAATGTCAGAATGATATGCATAATACTTTTGAAATATGCAATCTCTTTGAAGGCTGTTTTTTCTCTTATTGTAAGACATCCATGTTGTTTCCTTTTCCTCAGAATTTACATGTCTATATTTGGGGCAGGTTTATTCATTCGTTTATGCATTGGTTAATCAGATACTTAGTAAGTACTTTCTAAGTATGCCATACACAACCCTAGAGGTCAGGGGATTCAAGGATTAATAAGATTTGGTATTTATTTTTGCAAAGCTTCCAGTCTAGTGCTGACAACAGTCTTGGAAGTCTCTAATCACCATACGGTGTGAAAGTCACTAAGAGAGTTGTCTATAAGGTACTAGGGGAGCACAGAAAGGGCAGGACTGTGCCTGGGAGTTTCAGACAAGCTTCTGTTGAATTAGTAGTTTTGTCTGCTTGGTCATGTTGTATTCCTAGCTCCTCCACCTATGTCTATCAAACAGTAGGTGATCAATGAATACTTGAGTGAATCAAGCATTGTTGCCTGAATGGAACCATATCTAGTGTCTGTTCTTCCCCTAGAGGAACTGCAGTGTGGACTATAAGCATCCCAAATGGATAAAAGCTTATTGCATTAGATAAACAGCAAATTCTCAGAGGCCCCAGGGTGAAAGGTTCTGTTCTTCCATTCGTAGTAACTCATTACTTGTTAAACTTTCTGTACTTGAACAAATAAAGGAAACCTATATTTTGTGGTCTTTATTACTGTGCCCTAAAGAAGGTTGTAAGGCTTTTTGTTCTTCCTCTTGATAACCTGTGTTAAAATGTTTGTATTTTTTCCTTTGTTTACAGCAAAGCCAGGTCTCTATTTGAAAAAAATGCTGCCCCGATTTTACATTTATCCGGCATGGATGTGACTATTGTTAAGGTGAGGATGGCTCCAGAATGTTTATTTCACCCAAACAGCTGCCTCTTATAACAACCTCTTCTCTTGGCTTCTTAGCAAAAATTGCTTGTCACAAAAGCAAAGAAATTAATGTTGTAACCTGTTCTGACAATTGATAAAAGCAGCTTTGTTTTTTCCAAATAGTGTCAGCGTTTCATTTTCAGAATTGGATTGAGGGAGGCTTGGAGAACTTGATACCTTTCATCTGAGAGATGGGGATGTGGAATTACATCTCTTGGAAGATGAAAATTGTTATAGCTGCAAGAATTCTTTTTCTGAAAATACACAGTCTTCAAGTTTGAGTAATTAATTTAATTTCTTAGTAGTTCCACAAACAGGTAAACCATTTTCTCTCTAGTAAGGAATTATCACTGGTGAAGAATTTTAAATGATAAAGCTTCAGAATTTGAGATTTAGTTAAGAAGAAAAGGAGGCAAGCATAAATTAAAAGGAATTATACTGTTTCTGAAGATGCAAGACCCTACTTGTTGAATTTTAAATGAGATATGTATGGGTAAGTACATATGTGTGTGTATATGGTGAAAACCACTCTTATTGTGGTTATAAGTCTGTGGTTGACCAATTTCTAATATTGTATGCTTCCAGTAAATCATAGAAGTTAAAAAGGATCATTTTGTCTAGTTTACCATGCAGTGTTGAATCCTCTTTTCCGGCATGATTTTCCAGTTGTTTGCCTCTGGGGATAGGAGAAAGGGGAAGAAAACTAACATATATTTGAGCACCTGTAATGTGGCAGGTATGAGAGACCTTAGTATGTGAGACTGATGTTTGTTTTCTCAATAATTGGTGAAACTCACAGGTACTTTCTCGACCTGGAGCTTTCCTTGATGGGAGATTTTCTGTTTTTAATGTGTGTGTGTCTGTATGTATGTATATATATATAGAGAGACAGGATCTCACTATATTGCCAAGACTGCACTTGAACTCCTGGACTCAAGTGACCTGCCTTGTCCTCCCAAAGTACTGGGATTATAGGTGTAAGCTACTGTGCCCAGCCTTTTCGATCTTTTCTTTTTTTAAAATTCATTCATTAAATTTCTTTAATAGTTCAAGAAGTACTCATGTTTTATTTCTTCTTGATTTAATTTTGGTAAGGTAAATTCTTCAAGGAATTCATTTGTTTCATCTAAATTTTCAAGTTAATTGATATCAGGTTGTTCATAATATCTTCTATTTACCTTTTAAATTTCTATAGCATCTATAATGTCTCATTTTCATTCTCAATATTGCTTATTTGTACCCTTTTTTTTTCCCCACAGTAATCTTGTGAGAGGTTTGTCAATTTAATTAGGCCTTGCCAAGAACCATTTTTTGGCTTATTGATCTTCTCATTTATGTTTCATTCGTTTCTGATCATTTTTTACTATTTTCTTCATTCTACTTTTAAAAAAAAATTTTGGCTGTGCTTTTTCTGACATTTTAAATTCAATGCTTATTTGATTAATTGTTATCTTTCTTTCCTATTGTATGTATTTAAAGCTACAAATTCCAATCTGCTTCAGCTGCATCTTATGCTTTTTGATGAATGATATTTTTATTATCATTTATTTCTGAATATTTTTGAATTTTCCTTGTGATTTTTGCTTGACCTATGAGTTACTGAGACATGTTTCTGAATTTCCAGATCGAAAGTTCTTCTGATTGTCTTTGTTAATGATTTCAGACTTAATTGCATTTGGCCAAAAAAAAATGTAGTCTATAAAATTGTAGTATTTTAAAGTTTGTTGAGATTTGTTTTATGGTCTAAAACGTGCTCTGTTTCAATAAATGTTGTATCTATGCCTAAAAATAGTATATATCAGTTATTGGGTACTATGTTCTATATATGTTCATTAAGTCAAGTGTGTTAATTGTGTGGGTTCAAATCTTGTATGCCTTTACTGATTTTTTCTTCTGTTTTAACTACATAAATTATCAAGAAGGAGGTGTTAGAAATCTCCCACTGTATCTGTGGATTTGTCTATGTCACTACATAGATTTGTCCACTTTTGCATTTTGTATTTTGAGACTATGTTGTTAGATACACTAAAGTTTCAGATTATTTCAATTTTCTTACATTTTGACCCTGTCATAGAATGACTATTTTTAGCACAAATATTGCCTTTTGTGATAGTCTATCTTATCTGGTATAATGGATAATTAATACTAGCTTACTTATTTTTAGTTTTTGCCTGGTGTAATTTTTATATCCCTTTACTTTCATCTTTTTTGTATCCTGATATTTTAGATGTATTGTTGATAAAAGCATGAAAGCAGGATATTGTAAAGGCCATTTTTCTCATCTTTTGACTTGACTGTTTAATTCATTCCAACATTTCTCATAATTGTTGATGTATTTGGGCTTATTTCTATACCAGTTATCTATTGCTACAGAACAAACTGCCTCACTGTTTTTCTGCTTATGATTCCATGGGTCAGCAGTCTCGCCTGGGCTCCTAGTGCCATGGCTGAGGAAGGGTGGTCTTTGATGGCTTTACTCACATGTCTTCAAGTTGATGCTGGCTGTCCTCTAGCTCATGTCTCCACTAGGTATCTTCACATGGTAGCTGGGTTCCCTGAAGTCAGTTATAGACGTCCTCTAATTTTATCCCTAAACACTTTTACGTGTATTTTTAAACAAATAAGGATACTTTTATATTTATCTACAGTGCCATTTTTATATTTAGCAAAAGTAACTATTCTATCATCTTACACTACCTAACCTATGTTCAAATGTCCTGTGACTCATGTATTTATAATTTTTTCCAATTTAAGATAGTTATCAATTATATGCAAGTACTAATATGTGCATTACATATACAGAAAATAGACATTTAAAAGGATGAGGTTAAAAAATTAATGGAAATAGAATACTGATGTTTACTGTTTTTTTTTTTTTTTATTGCATTTTAGGTTTTGGGGTATATTTGAAGAACATGCAAGATAGTTGCATAGGTACACACATGGCAGTGTGATTTGCTGCCTTCCTCCCCTTCACCTATATCTGGCATTTCTCCCCATGCTATGTCTCCCCAACTCCCCACCCTCCACTGTCCCTCCCGCATTTCCCCCCAACAGACCCCTGTGTGTAGTGTTCCCCTCCCTGTATCCATCTGTTCTCATTGTTTAGCACCCGCCTATGAGTGAGAACATGCGGTGTTTGATTTTCTGCTCTTGTGTCAGTTTGCTGGGAATGATGGTTTCCAGGTTCATCCATGTCCCTACAAAGGACAGAAACTCATTTTTGATGGCTGTATAATATTCCATGGTGTACATGTGCCACATTTTCCCTGTCCAGTCTATTATCGATGGGCATTTGGGTTGGTTCCAGGTCTTTGCTATTGTGAACAGTGCTGCAATTAACATTCGTGTGCATGTGTCCTTATAGTAGAATGATTTATAATCCTTTGGATATATACCCAGTAATGGGATTGCTGGGTCAAATGGAATTTCTATTTCTAGATCCTTAAGGAATCTCCACACTGTCTTCCACAATGGTTGAACTAATTTACACTCCCACCAACAATGTAAAAGTGTTCCTATTTCTCCACATCCTCTGCAGCATCTGTTGTCTAGATTTTTTAATGATCGCCATTCTAACTGGCATGAGATGGTATCTCAATGTAGTTTTGATTTGCTTTTATCTAATGACCAGTGATGATGAGCATTTTTTCATATGTTTGTTGGCCTCATGTATGTCTTCTTTTGTAAAGTGTCTGATCATATCCATCGCCCACTTTTGAAAGGGCTTGTTTGTTTTTTTCTTGTAAATCTGTTTTAGTTCTTTGTAAATTCTGGATATCAGCCCTTTGTCGGATGGGTAGACTGTAAAAATTTTTTCCCATTCTGTTGGTTGCCAATTCACTCCAATGACTGTTTCTTTTGCTGTGTAGAAGCTGTGGAGTTTGATTAGGTCCCATTTGTCTATTTGGGCTTTTGTTGCCAATGCTTTTGGTGTTTTGGTCATGAAGTCCTTGCCTACGCCTATGTCCTGAATGGTTTTGCCTGGATTTTCTTCTAGGGTTTTTATGGTGTTAGGTCTTATGTTTAAGTCTTTAATCCATCTGGAGTTAATTTTAGTGTAAGGTGTCAGGAAGGAATCCAGTTTCTGCTTTCTGCACATGGCTAGCCAGTTTTCCCAACACCATTTATTAAACAGGGAATCCTTTCCCCATTTCTTGTTTTTGTCAGGTTTGTCAAAGATCAGATGGTTGTAGATATGTTGTGTTGCCTCTGAGGCCTCTGTTCTGTTCCATTGGTCTATATCTCTGTTTTGGTACCAGTACCATGCTGTTTTGATTACTGTAGCCTTGTAGTATAGTTTGAAGTCTGGTAGTGTGATGGCTCCCGCTTTGTTCTTTTTGCTTAGAATTGGCTTGGCTATGTGAGCTCTCTTTTGGTTCCATATGAAGTTTAGGGTGTTTTTTTCCAGTTCTTTGAAGAAGGTCATTGGTAGCTTGATGGGGATAGCGTTGAATCTATAAATTACTTTGCGCAGTATGGCCATTTTCACGATATTGATTGTTCCTAACCACGAACATGGAACGTTTCTCCATCTGTTGTGTCCTCTATTATTTCGTTGAGCAGTGGTTTGTAGTTCTCCTTGAAGAGGTCCTTTATGTTCCTTGTTAGTTGTATTCCTAGGTATTTTATTCTCCTTGCAGCAATTGTGAATGGCAGTTCATTCTTGATTTGGCTCTCTTTAAGTCTGTTATTGGTGTATAGGAATTCTTGTGATTTTTCCATATTGATTTTGTATCCTGAGACTTTGCTGAAGTTGCTTATCAGTTTCAGGAGATTTTGGGCTGAGACAATGGGGTCTTCTAGATATATAATCATGTCGTCTGCAAATAGAGAAAATTTGACTTCCTCCTTTTCTAATTGAATACCCTTCATTTCTTTTTCTTGCCTGATTGCTCTGGCCATAAATTCCAGTACTATATTGAATAGCAGTGGTGAGAGAGGGCATCCTTGTCTAGTGC